CTCTGTAAATAAAACAGACGTGATCATTTTCAACATAGATCTTTGTACTTTGGCTCGATACATCAGGCCACATATGACAAATATGGTATTTAAGATTGATGCTGAACCTAAACTTGAAAGCTAAATTAGGGCACCTTTGGAATTGCTTTTATTTTCATTAAGGTTGTTAGTTAAAGGAAAGACAGTTACCCATGCATTATCCAGGCTGCATTACTGTAACATCTATTTTGAGAATGGTGATGCATCCATCAGGCACCTGAATGTTGTGCAAAATGTTGCAGCAAGACTTATAATAACTGGAACAAAAAGATCATCTTCTTAGGTCTCTTCACTGGCTGCCTTTTCATTTTAGAATCTATTTTACAGTTATTTCAGTCACATTTCAATCTCTTAATGGTTTGCCCCCCCTATCTTTCTGGGCTGCCGCACTCCCATACACCTGCCTGCTTCCTTAGGCCTGCTAACCAGCAGCTACTTATTATCCCTTTTATCCAAACCGAAACTAAGTGCAGATTATTAGTGGTGACAGTGGCGGCAGGTGCAGGAATTTGCCCTGAAATCGGAGGGTTGTTGGTTTTTGGCTATAGCCTGCAGTGTCATTGCATTGCCTACTGATTGTGGTCAGAAATGTACGGCACCCTCACTTCTGTCAGTGAGCCCCAGGGCAGCTGTGGCTACAATGTAACTGTGACGATCTCGGCACTGGCTTAATCCCCAACTCGACACACCTGCTCACTCCACCCTGCCTGCTATTATCACTAATTGGTTACACCTCTATATATACCTCATCTGGATCTGTTCCCAGTGCCAGATCATCTCAAACCAACGTTGAGTACCTTCCAGCATTTGAATCTTTTGCCTGAACCTGTTTTCTGCCTTTTTTCACCAAGCCTGCCTGATCCCTTATCTGTTCCTGTCTGCCTGCCCTGAATCCAAACCAGATCTGCCTCTGGAGCCCCGCATCAGTTCTGCCTTGGATTGCCTGCCTGTGAGCTTGAACCCCACTCAGTCAGTGAGTAACTAGTCAGCCTAACCCCTCTGCTTCTCTGAACCTATCAGTTAAAGGACCCTGGATCGGACCTGGACCTCTCTTCTGGATTGCCCCTTTGTACCTTTGCTTGGACCCGATCACTGGACGGACTGTCTCTGGAGCTCATCGGCCTCAGTCCTCAGCAAACCATCCGCCACTGCTTCTACAAGTCCCTTCCTCTTAAGAACTCCTGCCCCGGACCCAACACGGATCCAATCGCCATCTGAGACCCAGTAACAGGTTAGTGATCCAGCCTCACTCCCCCTCTAGTTTTCCTGTTGCTGATCACTAACCTTTTGTCTCCGCCACAGGGGATTTCCTGACTACGAGCCGCCTGCCTGCTCCCTGTCCCACACACTGATAAATAAAATCCGTTGCATTCCACTGACCTGTCTGAGTTGTTTCCTGGGTTCAATTTCCTGTACGTTACAGTAACTTGCCACCATCAGTGTGTGCGTGAATTAGTGAATGACTGAATGTAGTGTGATACGCTTTGGTCGAGTCTTCTGACTAGAAAAAGCGCTATATAAATACAGTCCATTTACAATTATGCCTTAGCTGGAGAGTGATTTCCCATTGTGTGTCAGAAAGGCCTTCTCTCTTGCAGAGATTTAAAATTTTCTTAAAACACACCCATTTGCAGAAGCCTTTTGCACATCCTCAGATTTTAACTCTATAATTTTAATTTCAAAATTATTTTTATTAATTTTTATTACTCTTAATTCAGTTTATGTATTTTTACATTTTACTATCTTACGTCTTTTTTAGTTAATCTATTTTTATCTTATCTGTTTTAATTTTGCTGATATTGTCAGTTGAAATATGTACAAGACTTTGTTGAGCCTCCTTATTTTAAAGTGCTTCATAAATAAAGGTGATATGGTCTGGTATGCACATATTTTTAACACCAAGGTATTAATACAAAGGAATATGAATCCAATACAATGACTGGAAGTTTCTGCTGTAATTTATGCAACGCATCAAGGGTAGTTGGTAAAAGGAGGGCCCTCTTATTTTACATGGCCATAAAATCTAACCCTCTCTGTTCTGTGTAAATACAGAGCATTAACACCTCATTAACACTGTTTGGATAAAATATCAAAATGAGCCATTGTTCACAGCAAGTTTGTGCTTTTAAGACATCAAGCCTGTTGTGATTTCTTCCCAGCTGTTTGCAGACATGGAAAGAGTCTGGCTGTAGGAACAATCTCTGGTATGTAAACCGATGACTGTAAAGCCAAAAGAAGCAGTCACATGACAGGTGAGGGCGGAGCTAATGCTTAATCTATTTTATAACATATCCATCGTACCAGCTGGTGTCCAGGAGTTTAGTAATAATATAACCATCAGTGATGTGAGGGCAGTCCGGCCGGCAGAGAAATATAAAGTCTAAAGATTTCACTGAGTAAAGAGAGTCCAAACGATTGAATTGGGATGTTTATGTTTGTGCAGATGTGAAGGATGCTCCTGTGATCAAGTGCAGAGACTGCAGGAGTCTGGCAAAAGTAACATTGCTGTTGGACGTTGTCAGCCACACCATGCATGAAGCTTTAGCAGAGCTCCTTCAGTTACAGACTGCTTCACCCTATAAGCTAGGTTTATTGCAGATTGCACAGCAAACTCAACAGGCACTAGCATCCCTGCCTTTTTGGTTTCTTATTGAATGTCTATTGTTGCTATTAACAACACATTTCTCAAATTACACTACTGAGTTGCACATGTCTTTAAATAAAAGTCTCTCCATGTCTATGAAAGTGTAATTAGTTTATGAGACTCTGGGTCAATGGAGCAGAAAAAGGGAGGAATAGAAAGTTAAATCATTCAAAGACTGAGATACAGTTTTCTGAGGATGACAGACTTAGGTTCCAATCTGTAGACAGGAGTTCCACCACTAATTTAGAAAAATGCAGTCAGAATTATATTTAAAGACACTTTCCAAAAAAAAATGTCTTCAAACTTTAGAAGTTTGAAGACATGTCAGGAAAAATGTCAGGAATAGGGTTGAGTTAGAGGTTTTAGCTCACCAAAAACCTTGTTTTTGTTTTGAAAACATGCAAATTGAAACGGACGAAGGGGTCCACTCCTTTGGAACAGGGATCGTTTGGATTATTTTGTTAGCCTGCAAGGCCCCATACCTGTCTAAGTGTCTGAAAGGGGGCCGTTAAAGGGAATTTTTGGCCTGGCTGAATAGGAGAGGTCCTGTGCTCTCCTGTACAGGGGCTGGGGCTGCAATTATAGCGGGAGAGGATTCATGCAATTGCTGCATTGTAGGATTTTGAAACCACCTATTTTCTTTGTCCAAATTTTCTAGGTTGTTTGAGAGGGGCATGAAGGAAGCCATCTATGTTAAGAAAGAAAAAACAACCTTAAACAGAGGAGATCAGGTTTCAGCTTTCATAAACCTACAATGCAGCATGCAGGTCATTCTTAACATATGCAAAAAAGTGGAACAAAACCGTAACATCTGATGTATTAAGCACTTTAAAAGAGACACTCTAGATCAAAATGCTGTTATTCTAAAAAGAAATATAAGATTCAGAACATTAATATAATACAATTGTCAAAGCAATAAAACAACTGAGACCATAAAACAGGAAGAATAAAAAAGGCAACTAGAATTGCAAGCAATTATGAACAGCTTCCAATTCCCCCCCGGCGCCAACCACCCCATATGTCCAGCCAGTCCCTCTCCTTTAGCTTTCTCTAGAGTCCCTCAAGATGGATACTTGATACTTTCTGAACACTGTAAACACATAAGAAACACTGCGATTGTAAATGGAAATCCCTGTCTTGTGATTTTTTTTTACACCAAAAAGACTAATTTTCTTTTTGGTCCGACATAGCCAATATTGAGAAAATAGTTAACAATTTATAGTTTATAGAAATGTTTATCAAAATGTTCTCAATTAAAAGGTTTCATAATTCTTCCGTAAAATTAATAAAGTTGATTATTTTCCAGGACATCGGATAACAATGCTCTCCCACTAAAAAACCTCACACATCACAAGTTTTAAGTAATATATGAAAATTCAAAGTAAATACTCAAGTCTATATTAAAAATAAACTCACATACCAATGGCTATATCAGGAACAAAAGTCCTATTTGTAATGTCCAATAAATGTCATAATTTTGTTATCAACAAATTATGCAATAAAAAAAAAATATGAGACAATCTTCAAGTTTTTAAAAGTTAAAGCAAATTTACTTGGTAGAGTTCCTCTGCTAGGCTGGAAGCAGGCAAACACATTACCCTCGTCTACATCCATGGCCTTGTAACCCTAAATATCTCAAGAAAAATGTACTTTTAAAAGTTGATTTATCAAAAAGAAGTGAGTAAATCTGACCTGCAAAAGTGGCTAATCCCATAGTTTGGTAGGAATCCATGAAATACGCTCGGCCACCTCTTAACTGCCTCTTTGATTTCAAGACCCCCCAACAATGACTGATTCACGGACCTGAGAGAGCAAACTATGAGCCAATATAGTGATTCTGAAGCTGGAGGTATGTGTGTTTCCCAGGTACCAGTTAAGATATTTTAGACCAACTGGATAAAGTGGCGACTGGATCAGGCTGACATAAAGTGCATTGCATATGTCTAAATGTGTTGAGATAAAAGCATGAATTAAAATTTCAAAGTGATTATATGACAGAAGCATAAAGGAGTATGTTTCAACGGCTTCTGCATTTAAGCCTGGATATGACCATCTTTGCATTGTTTCATTTGTTCTGCCCCAGTGTGCTGCACCAAGCCCCACTCAGGCTTTTACTATTTGTTGTGCTGGATTGGGGGGATTTTATTGTTTGATATTTGAGGACTTTGAACCTCTTGCGTTGTCAGACACCTCTAGTAACTTCAAGAGCTGATAATGGACTCTGTTGAAGCTCTAGTATAGAGAGATTCATTCTTTAACTGTAGAAATCTTTTACAGTTTTAACTCTATGGTTTTAATAAAATAAACCTGTACTTACACAATCTCGTCATTGTCAAACTCCAGAACTCCATTTGTGTCTTCAAAGTCCACCCCTCCTCCTTTAGCCGTCCCCTCTATGGTTTTGTATGGCACAACCACAAGGCCACGGGCTCCTGAGTTCCTGGTCACCTTCACCTCCATCATTCCTGTGCTCTCGCTCACAGTCATGACTGGCTCCTCAAAGGTAAAGATCCCAGCATGGTCATCATCAAAGATGGTGACGGTGGCTGTACATGGCAAACCTAACCCTGCAAGGCCGTCGACGTGGTTCATCTTATGATCATTTGCACCATTAGATATAACCCTCACATTGGTGAGGTGAACCAAAAAATGTTCATCCTCCTCAAAGATATCATCGTCAATGATATCAATACGGATTTCCTTTTCGGTCTCCCCTGGTTTGAACACAACAGTTCCTTCAGTGAACTGGTAGTCTGAACCGGCGTTTGCGGTGCCATCTTCAGTCCGGTAATCAACACAGACCGTGCTTGTTAAGTCTCCACCTCTGCGGACAACGTTGAGTACTACACTGCCACAGTTTTCCAGACACTGATAGTTCCCAGGGTAAAAAAAAACCTTCGAAGAAAAGTTGTTGACGGATATCTCAGAGCAGATATCATGCTGTGTGGCTCTCTTGGCCTGATCAGCGGCATGTTTTTTAAGAACATTACCTGCTCCGGTCATGATTCTGGTTGTCTGACAGCGGTAGAAGGCTCGACTCTTCTGTTGTTGGGTTAACACCTGGTAATTGGCAAGCTCCATCAGTTGTTCCATTTCCTTCTCCGGGTGTTTCTGTTTTAGCTCTTTCAAGATCCTGGCCAGTTCTCTACGAGCCTCCTCCTCATCCACCTCCTTTTCCTCACTTCCCACCTCTCCATCCAGGAGTTCATCTCCATGAGAGTTAAGCATCTTGCCATCCATTTCAATGTCTACCTTTGAGGGAAGTTCTGGCTCACCTTCTGTCTCGATAATCATTCCTTTCTGCTTCCCTGCCCTGTATCGCTTGTACACATATTTGTAGAAAAGAAGTCTGCGATCTGCAACATAAGCTAATCCAACACAGAAAGGGAAGAAGAAGAGTGTAAGAAGCCCCTCCCATATTTCAACAACACCTGGAGAAAAAACAGCCAGGATCAGGTACAGCCAGGTGTATGCAAACACGCTCCAGGTGGCGGTGACAAAAAACACCCGCAGATGCTTCACCTTTCTGGTTTCTCCATCAGGAATGACAGACACACACAAGCCAATGATGACAAACATGTTGAAAGCAGCACTTCCTACGATGGTGTTTGGACCCAGCTCTCCGGCATCGAAGTTGTGACCACACACTTCAACGACCGACAGGAGGATTTCAGGTGCAGATGAACCCAAGGCCATCAGGGTCAGGTTGGACACCGTCTCATTCCAAACGCGAACTGTAGTGGTAATCTTCTCTCCATTTGGCTTCTTTATCGTGATCTTTCTTTCTTGAGAGGTGATGACTTCGATGGATGCCATGAAACGATCAGCAATGATAGAGACTCCTAGAAACATGTAGAAAAGCCCCACGAAGTAAATGGTGGCTCTGGCCATGCGGTCGGCAAAGGGAGGATTTTCCGGTTTCCACAGGGGAAGGATGACACCTTCAATGCATTTATTGCTGCCACCACATTTGGTCTGGTTTCTGGCTGTGCTGTTAGAGTTTAGGGTCGAAGCTGAGGCTCCTGCTGCTGAATGCAGTAATTCAACTGAGACAAAAGTCAACAAGAACAGTAGATGATTGATAGAGGATAGCGGCGGACTCCCAGTTTGGCACATGGTGAAGCTTCAGTTCTCGTCAACCTAAAACACACAGAAACAGTCTTAAGTATGTCAAACTGCAATTTTTGTTTTATTTTGTTTTTTGTGGATGACATGAAAAGGATATGGTGTTCATTCTAGCAAAATAACTTTAAACTTAATTTGGGTATTGACCTCTAGATCTCTAGAAAACCACCCTGTAGGAGTAGATTATGAATTTCTGTATTCCAAATGGTTTGGGTCACATGATCTGTCAGCTGTCTATATAGGTATGATCCGGTTTTGATGAGGACAGGTGTGTTCCACCCGAAAGGGGGAAACAGTTTTTGACCGTAACGCAATACTAACGTGACGCAATGCTACCGATATTGAGCTATGTGGATCCCAGAAACTATGTATGCGGTGTTATTGTCAATATTGCCGAGTCATGGAAATAAATGGATTACCTGCACTAACATCAAGGACGGCTATCATTTCAATTAAGCGGCTAAGTAATCGGCGTGTCAACTTTACCCTGATCCACCTCAGGGGCTTAAAGCTTTGGCTTAGCCTCTACACACCCATTAGACTTCCTTTAACAATTTCAGAATATATATACAGTCTGGACCTTTAATGTGAGTAAAAAATATGCAGACATTTGGGGCACCTCAGGGCTTCATTCCAGGACTACTCTTTTTTAAGATCGACATGAATCTACTACTTCTAATTAAAGGGTTAGATTACTTGTAAGTATACGTAGTTTTGTAGGAGAGTGGCAGCCTAGTGGTTAGGGCACAGAGCTTGGAATCCTTACGTTCTGAGTTTGAGCCCCCGTCACACAGAATGCCACCCTTAACCTCACATTGCTCCCCAGGCACCCCATGATTGCAGCTCACTACTCCCCAAGGGGATGGGTTAAAAGCAGAGGTAAATTTCTCCAATGTGAGATCAATAAAGTTCAATTATTATTTCTATTATTTTGCATGTCCCTATCAACAAGAGATCTTAATACAGAGACAAAAAGTAAATTCAGAGTTTTAAAAAGAACAGAACAGGCAGAAGTTACAGCTGTTCTCTGTAATTAAAGGTTTAGAATAAAACTGAGCACACCAAAGGTAAAAGAGCACGGGTTTCTTTGGTTTTAGTGGTTTACTTTGTTCTGTCGATTATACTGGTTCTGTTAATTCGGGTTTGTTCTGTTGATTCTCTTGGTTCTGATTGTTTATGTAGCTTTAATTTTGTTCTGTTTAATCTGCAGGTTCGGTTCGTTCTGAGTGAAGTTTTTAGTTAGTTCTATTGGTTCTGTTGGTTGAGTTGCTTCTCTAGGTAACTTTTTTTTCTCTTGGTTAAGACAGTTGGGTTGATTTAGTGTGTTCTGGTAATTCTGTCGGTTAAGTTGGTTTAGTTTGTTGGGCTGGTTCTCTTAGTCTGGATTGTTTTGTTGATTCTACTTGGGGTTTTTTTGTTTTATTTTGTGTTATTGATTAAGTTGATTCTGTTCGCTCATGTTTGGTTCTGTTGGTTTAATTTGTTCAGCTAGTTTTGTTGATTCTGTTGGTTCTATTGGTTCTCTAGCTTTATTTTTCTTCTGTGTGTTTTATATTATTTGGTTGGTTCTGTTATTGAAAATAGTTGGGTTGGTTAAGTTTGTTCTGTAAAATAAGTTAATTCATATTTTTCTGTAACTTCTGTTGGTTCAGTTTTATGTATTGCTTCTGTCGGCTCAGACTGCTAAGTTTGTTTTGTTATAGTTTAGTTAGGTCTGTTTATTAAATTAGTTATATTGTAAATGTTTGTTCTGCTGATTAAGCTGGATATGTTGTTTCAATTTGTTTAAATGGTTAAGTGGGTTCAGTTGGTTCAGTTTCTTGTTTTTATTCTGTTGATATTACTAAGTATTTGTTTTAGTTTGCTTTATTGTTTCTGTTGGTTGAGTCTTTTCTGTTGACTAAGTTTTATTTTAAAAAATATTCTTTTTATTTTGCTCTAATGATTAAGTTGGTTATTTTGATTCAGTTTCTTGTGGATCAGAATGTTCCTTGAATTAAGTTGATTAAATCCGTTTACCCTGTTAGGGTGTATATTTGACCCGGTTGATTTGATTTTGGTTATAAACAGGGGTAGGTAGCAGCTTGTGAAAATGGTGTTTTCTCTTTATGAGGATCCATCTAACCTCTTCCAATTATCCCTCAGGGTCATTGTTGGGCTGATGCCCAAGTCCTGCAGTCTATGGGTGGAAGGCAGGGCACCCTCTGGACAGGTCGCCTGTTTATTGCAGGACAGGGACATATAACCATACACACACCTACCTAACGGCCATTTGTAGAAACCAGTTAACCTAACAGTCATGTTTTCTGAACTGTGGGAGGAAGCTGGAGTACCCGACAGAACACATGCATGCATGGAGAGAACATGCAACCTCCATGCAGATAGACCCTGGGTAGAAATCTGACCAAGGATCTCTTTTCTGCAAGACAACAGTTCTACAAACTGCGCTACCGTGGAGCCCCAATTGAGGAGGACTTTAAGGAGTTTTCTCTGTTAGGTTGACATGGTACATCCGTTTTAGTTTGGGACATTTTAATTTTCTTCCAGTTTTGTGGGTGTTACAGTCTGGTTACAGTCATTGTTCCTGTGGCTCACCTGACTGCAGCTATCCTCACATGTTCTCTGCATTAAACTCCATCTGGACATGCAAGAGTCAACAAGGACACGCAATAATTCCCAGTTAATTCTGAGCTGTAGTGAATGAGAAAACTGTATTTTGTCTATTTGCCTTCAGTGGCTAACACTGAAGAATCTTGGATCCTCTCTTATACTTGTGACTGCTTCCTAAAAATTATCTGATGACTTGATTAAACAAAGAGCTGAGAATAAAACCAACTCTAGTAATGAATGAAGAAGCAGCAGCAGGAGCACAACCAGCTTCATTCTTGTCAGAGTAAGGCTGCAGGAGGAGAAGGATCATAAAGAGGGACCTACCTACCTACCTACCGCCACACCAAGAGGAAAAAAAGGTTTTCAAATCAGAGTCTCCACAAAGTTAAAGACGTTTTCATCCTCGGAACAAAAGCTGTTTGTTTCCAGCACAACAGTCAGACAACTTAGAGATGAGAAGCAGAACCACAAACCGGAGAGAGAAGCGAAAAAACAGAGACTGCCTAAAACGAACCCCTCCTCATTGCTCTGATCGGGCATCCAACCTCCTCCTCCTCTTTCTCCTCCTCCTCTTTAAACCCAAAACCTCATATAGAACCGTGCTTCTGATATTTATTTATCAATTCATTAATCAAATATTGATTTATTTAGTTTTTGGGCACCAGAATTTCAAATATCTCCAAAATGAATATGATTTATCAGATGAGGTTGAATATATTTATGTGGTTCAGATTAGTTGCTGGATCAGAAGACCTTCTAAAGGAGCTGCTCCAGGCTGTGGTGGTGAGGAAAGAGCTAAGCAGAGCATCAGAGCTGTGGTTTCACTGCTTCATCTATGCTTTATGGTTCAGGGTGGAGAGAATCAAGTCCTGGATGCAATCAGGCAAAACATTCCTTTGCTCTAGGTTGGCTGAGTGCTGCTGGACAGAGGAGCTCCATCATCTGGGTTCAGATGTTCCTCCACAGTAAAAGGATTCATATAAGGAGGTTTATGTGGTGACGTATTCTGCCTAAAGTCAGTGTGAGTACGTGGTGTTTGGATGTTGGAGGCTCCACTCTCTGAAGTCCTCCTCCTGAACAATTGTTGGACTCGATCCGAGTCAACCTGACTCTGAAATCTGCTCCAGCAGCCTGAAGAGGTCCAGCTCAAACCAGCAGGGGTCAGTGTAGATGAACCTTATTAATCACATGATGATCCTTCCGCTTACTTCTAAAAATCAGATCTGAGGAAATCTGCATCATTATCACAGCACTCTTTATTAAAGCTTCTCATCTCAAGCTCATCTGCTGAACATCTCACCAACATTACAGCTAAAGCTCCAGTAGAAACCACCTCACCCCAGCCAGATCACAGCAGCATCCAATCAACATCTGTGGCGTTCTGAAGATTTACTTTAATGATCTCTGATTTTTTTTCCCCAGAAATTAAATAATCAGCGGAGGTACTGTGATGACCCAACAATCAGAAGCTTGGATTCAGCCAATGAGTCACATGATCATGTGCTGCAGAAATCCCAGTCAGACCCCAACATCTCCAGCAGCTATAAGATGTCTCCTGCATCAAATGACTGCATTTACCACTGAATGTAAACCTGTTTCATGCATGTGTGTGCCCTGTGGGACCCCTTTTGTTCCCCTGGGTGTACTCACCTTGGCTCCTGATGCAGCAGCTGCAGAACAACAGAGTGTGTCCAGGACGGAGAGCTGCGTCTGATAACTACTCTAAATTTAACAGAAACACACATTGTTGCTCACACAGCATCCTTATCTTCCCTTCCCTGCAGGCCATGGCCATACATGGCTCTGCAGGGCCTGGGGCCATCCAGCAGCTCCTTGTCCCGCCGACACGTGGGGGGTAGATAACCGCCGGCTGCTCATGGCAAGGAAGCAGGATCGGTTCGTTCTCAATGTCCACTTCAACCCCCCCACCCACTTGACAACTTTCACAGCAGCGATTTTCCACAGTGACAAGGTGACATCCAAGGATCTGAAGGCCACCAGATTCTGGAGACGTATTAAATCTTTACAATGAAAAAGCATGAGTTTTTTTTTTTTGCTTTTAAACATAAAGACAATCCAATCAAAGGAAAAACAACTAAAATGACCAAGGAAGACATCGTAAAGACCTGAAGAAGATCTACATGCATGTAAAGGTAGGAGTGGTCAATGGTTCTGATGACCAGGATGGACTGAAGGTACCTCAGCTGGTCCTGACTGAGCCTAATTTCTGGCTGATTTTTCTCTTTTTTACCATTTAACAAATAAAATAAAAATAAAATAAATATTAGAATCACCAAGCCTGACATAAAGAACCACCAAGATGCGTAGGGTTCCCCTACAGAACTTCCTCTGAAGATATTTAATAAACTAAAGCATGAAAGTTCAGCCCAGAAACGGCAAAAAACCTGTGATCAAAACAGTATAAACAGTAACCTTTTATTTTTCTTCTCCCAAACATTAAATTTTAATGTTTCTTTGATCCAACATTCATCTGTTAGTAACAAAGTTAAATTAAAATCCTGATCTTCAGTTTCATATTTGTTTCTAATGATAACCATTAGAGTTAAACTACGACGGAGTATTAGGGCCACACATGAAGAGAAAAAATATTTTTGCCATGACGAGATTAAACTCTTAAAGTCGACATGTCGACATTAAACTCAACATTTCGAGAATAAAGTTGAAATGTCATGTTGAGTTTAATCTCGACGTGTCAACTTTAAACTCGCCCTGTCGACTTTAAACTTGCCATTTCGAGAATAAAGTTGAAATGTCATGTTGAGTTTAATCTCGACGTGTCGACTTTAAACTCGCCCTGTCGACTTTAAACTCGCCATTTCGAGAATAAAGTTGAAATGTCATGTTGAGTTTAATCTCGACGTGTCGACTTTAAACTCGCCCTGTCGACTTTAAACTCGCCATTTCGAGAATAAAGTTGAAATGTCATGTTGAGTTTAATCTCGACGTGTCGACTTTAAACTCGCCCTGTCGACATTAAACTCGCCATTTCGAGAATAAAGTTGAAATGTCATGTTGAGTTTAATCTCGACGTGTCGACTTTAAACTCGCCCTGTCGACTTTAAACTCGCCATTTCGAGAATAAAGTTGATATATCGTGGCGACTTTAATCTCGACATTCCAAAGTTTGGAAAAAAGAGCAACTGCGCTCCACAGCTGCAGTCTGCGTTTTAAGAGTGAAGGTAGTCTTTGACGTGCTGCAACTGTATAATCATCACAGGAAGTGGTGGCCTACCAATAATAACGTAACGTCTTTCCCTATGCTTACCCAGGCTCGCAGTTCTAAATTTGAGAACATGTCAGTCATTTCAACTTTATTTTCGAAATGGCGAGTTTAAAGTCGACACGTCGAGATTAAACACAACATGACATTTCAACTTTATTTTCGAAATGTTGAGTTTAATCTCGTCATGGCAAAAAAAAATTTTCTCTTCATGTGTGGCCCTAATACTCCGTCGTATTAAACCCTTAAGTGCAGCCTTGAAAAATAGTATTAGTATATCTACTCAAATGCATCTGAAACATCTTGAGGTTGGTGTGTGTGTGCGTGTGTGTGTATATATATATATATATATATATTAGGGGTGGAACGGTTCACAAAATCCATGGTTCGGTTCAGTTCACGGTTTCGTGGTCACGGTTTTCGGTTCGGTTCGGTATATGTTTATCGTTAAACTGAAAAAAATAAAAATTTATAAAAATTAATGATTTTTTTTTAAATGAAATTAATGGAAAAAAAAAAAATTTATGAATTGTAATTATTTTTAATGATTCGCGGAATTTGCATGTTCTCCCTGAGCATGCGTGGGTTCTCTCCAGGTACTCTTAGCTTCCTCCAACAGTCCAAAAACGTGACTGTAAGGTTAATTGGCTTCTCTAAATTCTCCTTAGGTGTGAATGGTTGTTTGTCTCTGTGTTGCCCTGCGATGGACTGGCGACCTGTACAGGGTGTACCCCGCCTCTCACCCATAGACAGTTGGAGATAGGCACCAGCACCCCTCGCGACCCCCATTGAGATAAGTGTGATGGAAAATGGATGGATGGATATTCAGCAGTCTAATGGCAGTGGGGAAGAAACTATTGTGCAATCTGTTGGACCTGCATCGGATGCTTCGAAGCCTCTTCCCAGAGGTCATCAGGGAGAACGGTCCATGGTGGGGGTGTGAAGGGTCACTGATGATGTTACAGGCTCGTGACACGCAGAGCTGGGATGAAATGTCTTTTATGGAGGGAAGAGGAGCCCCGATGATCTTCTCTGCTGTTCTCACCACTCTCCTCACTTTCTTCCAGTCTGAGGCGCTGCAGCCTCCACAGCACACAGTGAGACAGCTGGTCAGAATGCTCTCTATGGTGCTTCTGTAGAAGGTGGGGAGGAATGGTGGGGGCAGGTGGTTAAGGTAAATAGCAGATTCTTATAAACACAGTGTCAGTTTGGACTCAAAGCAGATTAAACATAAGAACAGAAAATTAATTTAGAAAACTTAAATCCTGTCCCAAAATCTAGATAGTTGAACGGAGAAATAATGAAAACTGAAGGTCCCAATAATATATTTGATTGTATTTTTTTTTCTTTCTATCCTTTAGTCCACTGGCGTAACTTTCTAGAGGACTGGTGTGGACATGTCCACACCAACTTTGGGCATGGAGTGGACAGTCCCCACCAAAAATTTCCACTTTTTTCCCCGCTGATTTACTTCAGCCAACAGTAACTGGGGTTGGGTGCAGCTGTCTGTGTTCAGAACGTTTTCAGTCCGTGTTTTTTCATCGCTTTCCTGCTGCTCTTGAGTCCCACCTATTGAAATATCATGGGATCTCTCTCTTTGGGACATAATATTATTTGGGGACACTTTTCACTGTGTACAGAGTAATTACGCATAGGAGGAGAGACACAGCAACACTCAGTGATTATTAACCAGCAGCTACTTGTAATTATATGTTTAAGTAAAAGTTAGGAGACGGGTTGGTTAAAAAAACATTAGATCCGTTCGTTACACATAGGGAGCTTTTTCAGCTAAAAATGGCAGCAGATTTTACATTTATATAAGTTAAAAAAGCCAGGCTTCTCAGAGGACCATTACTCAGTTTTACAGATTAAAAGTAACATATTTCTGTTGTTTTCTTATTGAACAGAGAATCAGACTGCAGAGCTTCTAGAGATCCTAAAAATGATTTTCTCTGGCATCATTATAGACAGGTTCATAAATCTGTTTTTAAACAGAGCAGAGACACAATTAGGGAGAGCTGCTAATTTAAAGGTGAAATAGATTTACTGGAATATGCAACATGCAATAAAATATATCCCCAAGTTTACAAGAAAAAATATGCAATGCTAAAATAAGATTTAACATATCTTTTTGTTTTTTTTTGTAGTTCAACAAGACTCAGAAATAGCTGCAAAACCGAGACAGCCAGACTCACAGGACACAAACTTAAAATTAAAATATAGGAAACCTGCAAGAATAAATCACAAGCATAAATAA